ATGAATGCTGCTGTTCCTCAGAGCTTAATCATTAACCCTTTTTTCTTGTTACCTCACATACCCAATTTCCTTCTGCGATTTTATCCTGTATCTGTTACTTTGCTGTCTAATAAATTATCCTAAGATTCAGAAGTTTTCCTGACTATATAGTGCACTGGTTAAAAGACCAAAATATGGAGCCAGATGGCTCAGTGATATCCTAGCTCCATTGTACTTGCTCTGTGAACTTAGACAAGTTATTTAACAAGTTATTGTTAAAATGATGATAATAATAGTACTTGCCTCCCAGAATTATTGCGAAGTTTATGTAAATTAATAAATACAAAATTCTTTGAAGTGTGTCTGGCTAAGTGCATATAATCATTTGCTGCCATTATCATTATTATTACTACTACTACTACTACTACTACTACTAGAGGCCCAGTGCACGAATTCGTGCATGGGTGGGGTCCCTCGGCTTGGCTGGTGATCGGGGCCAATTGGGGTCTTCTCGCCCAGTCCGGATCAGCCAGACCCCAGCAGCCAGCTAACCTACAGGTCGGAGCATCTGCCCCCTGGTGGTCAGTGCACGTCAGACCAAATGGTAGACCAATCAGTCGGACACTTAGCATATTATGCTTTTATTCCATAGGATTGGTATTTCAAGCCCAACAGGAACAAAACTGTTCTTTATCTATCATTCCATAATTAAAACAAAAATACCTTTCTGTACTTCTTATATATTTTCTCCTTGTTAATAATTCCACCATTCACATAATACCCAATGAAGACTTTGGGGAGCCTTCCAAACCTCCTAACCTCTCCCTAATCCTCCAAGTAACATCTGTCCCCAGATTGTGTCAATTTACCTTCCTAATGACTCCCAGGTCTGACCACTCTTCTCTATCCCACTGCCCAAATCAACATCTCCCCCCTGGATTATTGCCATACATTCTAACTGGACTCCTTGCTTCCTATCTCCTTCAATTGTGATTCATCCTCCCACCTCCCAGAATGAAGCCTCTAAAAGGCAAATGATACTTGTTGCTTAAAACTCTTCCAAGGCTCCCAATAGGATGAAGTTGGAATGTTAGTGTAACATACCCCGGGATACAGCTCCTGGATGCTATGACCGTTGTCTCCTGTCCTTACCCAATGTTTCCTGCCTCCCGCTACTGCACATCCTATACAGCTCTTTCTGCCTTGAGTATCCTCCTTCCTGTTCCCATTCCAATTCCCAGTCACCTGGAAAACTTACTCTTTATGATCCAGCTCTAACATCTCTTCCTCTGGAAACTTTCCCTGACACCTTTACCAGGAGAGTTGATTACACCCTTCATTCCTATTCCATCGCTATACACAATGATGTCCCAGTGCTCATCACATTATGTGATCACATTTCACATCTCCATCTCCCTTATTTTATGACTGCCTAGAGGACAGAAAGTGGGTCTTATTCATCTTTGCATTCACAGTGCCTGGCATGTCACTGACGCTCAACAAAAGTTTATTGAATGAATTAATGAATGAAACCACAATACATAGCAACATTGGCTACATAGGAAATTTAAAAAGAGGGAAAATTTATAATCCTAGAAGCCTGGAACAGTAGAAAAATGAACAGATATGAGGAAATGGAAAGGCACAGAGGCCCTGGCCGAGTAGCTCAGTTGGTTAGAGTGTCGTCCCAACATGCTAAGGTTGTGGGTTCTATTCCCAGTCAGGGAACATACAACAATCAACCAATGAATGCATAGATAAGTGGAACAACAAAATCAATGTATCTCTCTCTCTCTCTCTCTCTCTCTCTCTCTCTCTCTCTCTCTCAAAATCAGTGATGTAAAAAGAAGGAAAAGAAAGGCACAGGCTCTCGCTGGTTTGGCTCAGTGAATAGACCATCAGCCTGCGGAGTAAAGGGTCTAGGGTTTGATTCTGGTCAAGGGCACATGCCTGGGTTATGGACTTTATCCCCAGCAGGGGACGTGCAGGAGGCAGCTTCTCTCTCCTCATTGATGTTTCTATCTCTCTCTCCCCTCTCCCTTCCTCTTTGAAATCAATAAAAATATATTTTAAGAAAGAAAAAAAGGCACAGGGGCCAGGAATCAGTTTGGTGTAACGACAATGATGGGTTTGGTTTTGCACAGGTTGAATTGTATTTGCACCAGCAGGCAATTATATAAAAAGGATCAGAAAATAGAAGAAAATCTAAGGTTAAAATTATAGATTTGAGAATTAAAATCAGAGAGATGATATTTTAACCAACAGAAAGATTTTCCACTTACATCAGAATAGAATGAAAAATTGACCCTCTTCTAAAAGGAAAAGATTAAAGAACTTTCTAAATATGGTTTAAAATAATAATTACAAAAGTAATACTTAATGGAATCGTAAAGAGTTTGGCATACTCTTTAAAAAGGGAAGTATTTTTTTTAAAGGAGAGACTCATCCAAAAATAACTTCTTAGGACAATACCCCCACTAAGATCAGTACCCTCACCCTGGCTGCAGGGACCACTCAGTCTCAACTCCTAGGTTTCTGTTACCCTTGCCTCCCATGCTCTCTGCAAAGCCTCAAGGATTCATTGGATATTATACTGATGGTGTAGAGATACTGCTTACATCCAAATGATGCCAAAAATGGCTGGTAAAAAAGCAGAAAACCAAAAATATATAATTGATTGGTTATATAAGCCAGCTCATGAGGTAAGATATAAGCAATTATAATTACACTAGGGTCCCTAGGCCTGGCCAGCAATCAGGGCCAATTGGGGCCTTCCAGCTGCCAGCCAGGGCCTTCCTTTGTTCCACACTGCCTCCTGGTGGTTAGTCCACATCACAGCAAGCAATCGAGGTCTCCCAGTCGAACTCCCAAGGGAATACTTTGCATATTAGCCTTTTATATATATAGAACACTATACCAAATAGCTTGTGAGACTTTTTTTCTAGATTGACCTTCATGTGTTCGGGGAGAGGGGTGCACACATGTGTACGTGTGTACCAAGCAGAGACAGCTAGTGACTGACAGAGAAAATGTGCTTTACAATAACATAGCCAGCCCAATAGGCAAAATCAACAGAGCATATTATAAGTGTGTCCCTGATAACTCAACATCGGTGGGAGGCAGGGAACCTCTATTCCCTGGGATTTTTATACACTCCACCACGGTGGGCACGGTAGGACCCGTCCTGGTTCTGTGATTTACACAATCCCCAGGCTGGTCCGCTTTGCTCACAGCTTCCTACATATCTTTTCTCTTTCCTCTCTGAGTCTTCAAACCACTTCCAAACAGACGGCTCGATTAAAAGTCTGTTGCAGCCTGCTCTCCTGGACTGATTATGCCCTAGCACAGTGATGGCGAACCTATGACATGCGTGTCAGAGGTGACACGCGAACTCATTTTTTTGGTTGATTTTTCTTTGTTAAATGGCATTGAAATATATAAAATAAATATCAAAAATATAAGTCATCTTTGGTTTATGGTTGCAAATATCAAAAAAATTTCTATATGTGACACGGCACCAGAGTTAAGTTAGGGTTTTTCAAAATGCTGACACGCCGAGCTCAAAAGGTTCACTATCACTGTCCTAGCATATAGGGCATGACATACAAGACCCTCACTCGGGTTTTATAAGCATTTCCTACTTCTCTCTAACCTCTTTCCCCTCTCCTTGGGACTCAGAACATGCTGGGTATAACACCAGAAACACCTGATTCCGCACTGAGACTAGGCACGCCTCTCCTCACACTCTCCCGGCCACTCTACCCACCCCAGACGGCCTCTGGACCAGACCTGGGTTTGGGACCTCACTTCCACCACTTACTAGCTGTGTGATCTCATGCAAGTTACTCAGCTTCTAGGGAGTGATTTCCTTATCTAAAATAAAAAAGAGAGAGAGATGGGAATAATAGCAGCCATCTGATGGACTTGTCAGGATGAAGAAGGATCACACGCACAGGTATTCACCACAGCACTGGGACCACCTGGTGCTCAC